CATGTTACTTCACTTCTCAACAAGAAATGGCTGGAATAACTGGAGGACTCCATTCAATAGATCTGAGTCACTTCCTCTCTTTATACACACCCTCAGAAAATTATATAAAGTGGGAACTGCCAAGTCACAGAGTCTGGCTGCCTCCTACTGCACTGAGAGAAAAAGCAAAGGAAAGAACTTGCAGAATAGGAACAGAGAAGCTCAAAGGAGTAGAGGATGTGGCCATGACAAGTGCTAAGAACAGCAGGACCTGCCTGCAAGGATCAGAGACCTGGCTACAAAACCCCAGTCAAACTGTCAGCCCCTTGGGCTCCCCATAAAAAACCCAAAGCAAACAACAAACCAAGAGCACATCTCTGGGTTTTGCATATGCTGGCTAAGCAGGATTGGGCAGGGGCAGAGAGATGGGGTTGTTAGATTTCACTTGGTGGCAACAAGGATGGGATAAGGAGAGGGAGATAAGAAGAATGCAGGAGTATTGGGGCTTCCCCCCTTACCTGTGGTCATGGTCAGTGTGGGACTGACTTTTGTCAGATTTATCTTTCATCTGCTGCTGCATCCCTTTTCTGAAAGAGGAAAGATTTCATTCACTCTTGTGAATCTTTGCTACTTACATTTCTAGAACACTTGGAAATCTTTGATTAATAAACATCATGCAACTACAATGCCACATTAAATAGTGGAAGATATATACACATATTAAAGAGAAAAAAATGACAAATGCTGAGAAATGGAAGAGTTCAGTTAGTCACCAAATGGGGAATAATTACAGATGAAAAGGATTATAATTGGTTTGGAAATCTGAAATAATTCTATGCTTCTGCATCCTGCCACAGCTTTTACCTCCTGGGGAACAGGTCTCAGGTTAAAAGGATTAATTTTATTTTATTGTTCAGTTGTGGATTGCTCCTAATCAGTGCTTCTACCAGCCTAATGACATCAGGATGTCACTTAGTAACAACCATGGACTCAGACTGCAACAAGAAAAACATAACTGTTGAGGATCTTGTAACAATTTGCCATCTAGCGGTTTATGGAAAGCAAACTCGGCTCTTAGCTCAAGTAGAAATCAAACACTTAACACCAAGACTGCATTAGATGTTAAACATGTAACAGTGCAAAACCCAGCTCACCTTCTGCACTGACAATGATTTAAATTTTGACTGTTTAAGATTAGGCAGCTTGATTGAAACTGAGCAAGTAATTTCCTTTTGGAGGAATGTGTCCCCTTTCCTTCTGGCACGTGAATCTTGCCACGTTCAGGGGAAAGGGTTCAGTGGTAAAAAGATCTTGGACTAATGTGCAGCACAGGTGACTAGATAAATGGCTGTCCTTGGCAGTGAGGGGCCACAGAGGCTTCCTGCCCACTGATATGTATAAGGATCAAGAAAGGTTAATTGCAGCAGAGCTGGAGATGGGACTGGAATGTGTGCTAAATTCTGCCCTCCCTGAATGCTTGACATATTTCAGCTGCCTGTCAAGTGTGCATCCAATAATACCATTGCTTGGATTCCAGGCATGCCTTTAAACACCTTTCAGGTTTTTTAAAAAGCTGGGGGTAAATAATCATTATTCTGATATGAGAGCCTAGAATAAATTCTGTTTTAACTTACAAAAGCTGTCAGTGCTCATGCACACAGATCCTCACTCAGGTACACCCAGACACACTCCCAATGTGTTCTTTTCCACTTAAAACAAATCCCTCACCTTTTATAGGACAAGCCTAGCTGAGAAGCTAGCTAAACTTCCAAAACATGCATATCAATTTCATGAAGTGAAGCTCTTTGAACAATCAGGTAATTTAAAAGATAGTAAGAGTCACATTCTGATACCCTCTTCCTCTCTTGAGTCTTTCTGACAATATGTCTTTAGGATCTACCCCTGTGTCTTGGCTCTTCATTTTTGTGATACATCTGGGTTCTGGGCCTGGTGGAATCACCACATCTCTGCCTCTCTCCTGATACCGATAGACCAGTGCCATTTTCAAGGTGTTAATCTTATGCTTAAGACTAATAAGCATCATAGACAAATCACTTAGGCAGTTATTAGGGTCAGCAGTCTGCTTTGTTGATTGTGAACACAACTTCCTCTCCCATTGTTCCTGAGAATGGTTGCTGGCTGTTCTCCATTTAGGAAGTGGCTGCAATCCTCTGTGGGTCCCTCTCGTGGAAATCGGTGGGAATTTTCCATCTGTTCCAGTGGGAAATCTCATGGAGCACAATGTAAAAAAATCCTTACCAAGAGACGACCCATAAAGCTACAGATACCTGATGAGCTCTATGACAGAATATGCTTCACATTATATGGAACATGTCTAAGTTAAGTGATACATAATAGGAAAGCTATAGATTTCCTTCAGATTGTGAACATTCAGCCCAGGCTCTTTCCTGATGGGCTGTGGATTTAAAGACTGAAAATATTTCCAGACTACAGTTATTTAAGGCAACAGATGGACCATATCTTCAGGGACACTTTAGCTGTTGTTGCTCCTTTTTACTTCCTTGGGTCTTTCTCCATAGTCTTGTGACAACATCCATCACCCTGCAAGGTAAGAAAAATGGTTTAATTATAGTCTGAAACAAGTATGGAAGACATATGGTGAACTGTGGCATAGTCAGCAAAGAGTGAAATAGCAGGAAACAGCACTGGCAAACTACAGTATCAACTAGATAAAATATCAAAACACTTTCTCCTGCATAGTTCCTTTTCTCTGCTGTTGTTCAGAGCTGGGTGTACCTGCCTGTTTGTCCTTTAGTTAGTTACTAAACAAAAAATAAATTTCCTTTGCTCTGCAGATATTTCTAGCATGAACTTTGAAACCAGTGACATGTTGGTGGTGCTAATAGGCCTAGGCTCAAGGTCTATAGTCAGAGCAGTAATGTGCCCATTCATGTGCTCCTGTGGAAACAGACCATCCTCTGAGAAACAGGGGCACACGGGTCATGGGGTGCATGTCTGCCTAAAGAGTGCTCCACCCAGAAGAGTGTCCTCTAAGCTGTGCACCTTGCCATTGAAGATGTTGTGAGAGTAGATGGGTAACTGAAGGATTATTTATGGAACAATAAACACAGGATTCGAAACGCAAATAACAGCCCTGACTGATACAATGAGATTGTGAACTAAAATGAAAGCTAGAAACAATCTTCTTCCACGTCTGAGTACCTGAAGGGCAGAAACACTACCTCCCTAGCTCAAACAAAAGTAAATGACAGATAATAAGTATTGAGACTTGTTTCAGACTTCTTTGTAGAACTTTTTGCTCTAGTATTGAGTGCAAACCTCCTGAGCTTGTAACACTGCCTTCAGATTCAGGGGGCAGTAAACATGAACAGCCTGTTGGTAAGATTTTAGATGTGTTTGCACAACTTCCTAAACAAAAAATGTAAGTCCTCAAATATGTTTTTAATTTAAATGAAATTCAGTCAGACTGTAGAAAGGTGGTTTTTTTTCTACCATTGGTAAGACTGAAGAGCTGGACTGAGTTCCTGTCTCAGACATGCAGAATGTCCATAATTGCAGTCAAAGCACACAGGGTAGATAGTGCTTCAGTTCTCCAGTGACAGCAGCAAGGCAGCCTCATGTTGTTTACTCAGAGAAGTCCTCATGATCTGTAAGCAACTATGCAAGAGAATAGGACTCTGGGCACAAATCCAGGCTGGGGGAAGAATGACTGGAGAGCAGGCCTGAGGAGGACTTGGGGGTGGGAGGAGATGAGAAGCTGGACATGAGCCACCAGTGAGCTCTGGAGCCCAGAGGGGCAATTGTGTCTTGGGCTGCATCAAAATAAGTGTGGCCAGCAGGGTCAGGGAGGGGAGATTCTTCCCCTCTGCTTTGCTGAGACCCCACCTGGAATGCTGTGTACAGCTCTGGAGCCCTCAGCACAGGAGAGACGTGAAGCTGTTGGAGAGGGTCCAGAGAAGGGCCATGGAGATGACCCAAGGGCTAGAGCAGCTCTGCTCTGGAAACAGGCTGGGAGAGTTGGGGTGTTCAGCCTGGAGAAGGGAAGGCTCCAGGGAGACCTTAGAGAAGCCTACTAGTATCTGAAAGGGCTCCAAGGAAAGTTGGGGAGGGGTTTTTCACCAGAGAGGGTAGTGATAGGACAAGGGGTAATGGTTTTAAACTGAGGGAGGGGAGATTTAGGTTAGACATCAGGAAGAAATTCTTTACCATGAGGGCAGTAAGGTGCTGGAATAGGTTGTACAGGGAGGTTGTGGAAAGCCCCTCCCTGGAGGTGATGGAAAGGATGTGTGAATTCAACCATTCGCTGAGATCTACCAGAAGAGCAGGCAGGCAGCACCAGTGCTACCTCATCTTGTATTTAAATCAGCTCCTGACACAAACTACTCTCCAACATATGCAGGTCTCTCAGCAAATGGCCACAGCTCTTTCTGACATTGTGTGAAAGGGTCATTTTATTCTGGGTTGCAGGGCAGTCCTCCATCTGGGGTTGAAAAATGCCCAGAACAAGAAGCTCTCTGACCCATTGCACGTATTCAAATTGCTACAAATTTTCACTGGTCCTGCAGAATTCAAGCTTCTTTGTAAATGTTGGTAACATAGATCTGCACCCTCCCTTTATCTACCCACTCATCTATTTGCTCACTCCATCCAGCAATTGTACATAAGGTGAGGCAGCACCTGAAGAGGCCAAAGGGAAGTTCTCCACTGGAAAGAACTATTCAGTTACTGTTTTGTCCCTGGCATGAAGCATATACCAATGCCCAGGTCATGCTGCAGCCTGAGCACTGGAATGCACCAAAGGAAAACATATCTCTTCTGTAGGAAAACTAGCAAGGCCACTTTATTTCCATTCTGCTTTTGAATGAAGAAAATAAGACAAAGCATTTTAATTACAGCATTATTTTTATTTGTGTATCATTGGTTTAGGATTGGCAAGTTGAGCCTAACAATGGGTTTTGTCCCAGTTGGAGAACATGGCCACCATCACAACTGCATGCAAAGAACCAAACTGTTGCCATGCAGGATTGTCAAGATCCAGACTACTGTAATCTTTCACAGACATTAAGGCCCAGAATGCTTGGAATTCCTGCTCTGGCACAGGTATTAAAACTTGGTAGTGCTAAAAGAAATGAGAAAATGAAGATATTATCAGTGACAAGATCCCTCTATGCAGCAAGCAAAAGTCTGCTAAATATAAAAATTTCAATTTCAATTTGTGATCCTATTCCTGTTGGTCTCAATAGACACCGTGTAAAATTTTTATGGTGTAACTCAGATGGAGGAAATGTCTGTACAGCTTTTAAATCACCTTTGTGCTCCTCCTTTCCTATAACCCACATCCAGCAGGTACCATGCTGGCTACAGGAGATGCCCTTTGGGACCACTGTATCATTAATAGGGACACCAGCTGGGTTCAACTGCTATGCTGTGGCTTCCTCTGACCCCAAGCAAACCACTTTGGAACAGCTCTTCCAGACATTTAGATGCCTACGGATGAAAAAGCATGTTTATCAGATTTTTCCAAGGATCCCAGAGCATTACCCTTTCAATCCTGCTAGGTAGTTAACTCCTTCTCCCTAAAACAGGGCAGTTATGTTCCTGCTTCAAAGGTACCATGTGAACATAGGTTTAAAGGACAGAAAGATGCTTATGCACTGCAACAGAAGCACAATGTTCTGATCCTGTAACTTACTCTCAGTCTTTTCAAGCTGGTAGAGAGGCAGACCTGTGCAGAGGTGTTCAATGGCTTTACCATAGAGGATCCAGTCCTTGAAATTCCCAAGCCTGGAACTGCCAGGTTGAAACTGTACCCACACATTATGTGGAGAGTACACTGTCTTCATAGTCTGAAAAGAAAATGGTAAACATCATCAGTAATGTAGCTTTGCTCTCATTCTACAAGGACAAACTTTGAGAAGATCCCAAAATCTAAAATCACCTTCCTTTTCCTCACACTAGCAATAGCTGAAGGAGCTATGTGCTTTTAAAGAAAAGAAATATTTCAATCCATTCACAAATAAAGTTCACTAGACACTAATTCTGTCAACACAGCAAAATGAGCTGTATTACTGTCATAATAAGTTATATTCATTTTTTTGCTGTGAACGAGCTACTGTTAAAAACAGGCCAGAACTCAAGTTCACCTCCAGAAAATACTTCCAGTCAAGTTCATGAAAACTTTGCCTGAGTAGGAAAGTGTAAGACTGGTCAAAGTAAATTGATTTCTAAAGAAAATTGTTTCAAGTTCTGTCAAGCTCAAAATATAGCATGAAAATGAAAAAAAGGAAAAGCCTGTCAGAACTTGTACAGATCTCAAAACAGTCAAATTACTTTCCAGGACAATGACAATCCACTATAAAACTGGCAGGGGATGGGGGGACATGATTGCTCATTATCTTAAAAGAATGTTCAACATGATATTCCCTTGAAGTTGAGTCAGAGCTGCTTCACCATTGCTATCACAGTAGAACAGCTGCTCTTAAAGGCAGAATGGAGAGCCCCCAGTACCCCCCACAACTCTTACACACTTGTCTCTCCTGTATGCAAGACACATTCTCACTGCAAAGTCACCTTTTTCTCAAATGCCAGGCGTCCAATTTCGTCCAGCTCTGGGATGTATTCCTTATCTATTTTAATGATAAAGCAGGCATTTCGTGCAAATAACCTTGTTGCAATATACCCCTGTGATGAAAAAAAAAGAAGATTTAATTAATTAAAAAATGCTACAACTAATATTAGTTGATTCTCTCTACTCCAAGACAATCTAGAAAAAACATGAAGAGGCTATGCTGATGGGGAATGACTCTGCATTTACCTTGGGGAAATGGAAGCAGCCTTCCAACATTAATGTTTGTCCACAAGACTGAAGTATCTTTTCTGACAGATTTCTACTGCACTTTCTGTACATGAGGGATGGCAGCCTATTCCCAACAGTGACCTCCCTGAGGTCAGTGACATTCTTTTCACTTCCATGAACTGCCACCCCATGTTTCATTACAAGTCTTTTCAATTGCACCATATATGGGTGAAACAAGGAGAAGGAAAGGTGACCAAAGAAGCAGTGTTTCAGGGCAACTTATGGCAACAATACACTACAATAATTTCTGAGTTTAAAAACTTCCTCAGAGATTAACTCTAGGCAGATTCTTAGATTTACTTACACGTGAGTAGTCGAAGATGGTATCAGAGGAGTACACACCAGAACGGACATGGACATCAACAATGTGTTTGTCACTGTGGATTGTCATAGTTGCAGTGACATAGCGACTGCCAGGTTCTTGCAGGAGAAAGGTCTTTGGTAAAAAAAACAAAATCAGTGTTTATCTCTGGCTTGTACCTTGAAAAGGTACATTATAAACCAATGTTCTGTATCAAATAAACAGGTATGATTGCTTTATGTAAATACTAAATCCCTTAAAAACCCTCTAGCAGCCTCAGGAGGCCCTTGAGGTGCCAATTAATTGTGCAGGAGGGTGTCAAGGTAAGAAAGGAGGGGACAGCCCCTCACTGCAGGCTAAGGAAAAACAACATGGGGCACCCCAGTCATTATGTGTGGCAGCAGGGACTGGCAGGAGACTGTAACAGCCTCCAAATTTTGGCTTGAGCAAAGGGCACCTACGCTCCTCCCCCTGATTTCTTCCCCCCCCATGCATCTGCATAGGCATTGGCTTGCATGATTGCCACCTCTGACAAATGCTACACTTGGCAATAAGTAACTTGCTAGGTTTTTTCTGTGCTGTTCTTCCTATTATATTGGTCTTCTGCCCAGGAATCCAATACATTTTAAATGTATAGTGCACTAGAAGGCTCATCAATTCTCTTACCTCCAATGCAGAAGAAGCCTGAGTCCAAAAGACTCCCAGCAAAACAAGAACTGCAGCCTGTAAAAGGAATAAACATTCTCACTTTACAAACACCAGGCAGTGCCATAAAAAACCCCAGTTCATAGAATTGCTTTGGTTGGAAAAGACATTTAAGATCATCAAGTCCAACCAGGAACCTAACTTTGCCAAATCCCCCACTAACCCATGTCCCTCAGCACCACATCTACATAGCTTTAAAATCCCTCAGAATGGTGACTCCTCCACTGCCCTGGGCAGCCTGGGTCAGGGCCTGACAACCCTTTCAGGCAGAAATTTTATTAATTGAAGGAAGCAGCTGTAGCATCAGTTTGAAAAATTACCCACTTAACACGTATTAGTTAAAAACAATTACAATTCTTCATTGTAAGATTCCTGCTATTAGGCTCTCGTTGGCTTGTAAATGAAAATTAGTATCTTAACCATTACATTTTTTTACATTATTCAAAAGTCTCTCTTTGATGCCATGTTATTTCTTGATTTGCCTCTGCAACTGCAGTTATTAAATCATAACTAAATTCCCCTTCTGAATTGTAATCAAGTCCTGAAATCTTTACTCATATGATGCTTCAACTGAAACTAAGGAAATTACTGTATATGGGAGAAATGCAAGTTTCCCACTGAACAATCCAAACAAAACACCACTGTACTAGTCCCAGTATTACTTACTACAGCATCATATTATCTGTCCTTTTGTTTTTAAAAATAAAGAACTTATTACAATATAAGTTCAATAAAAATGGATATACTCACAAATCTGTTCATTTTTCTTTCAGATAAGAACGACAGGCTGCAGAAAGTAAGAATGTAAGAAAATCCCAGAGACTTTCAACTTTTATATCTTGGTGGAGGTGTGGGAAACACTTGACAGTACTTTTCCTCATGACTCGAACAAGTCCTTATTTACATGCCACACCATGGTAAGCCTCATATCTAAATTTTGGGTTGGCAGAGATAACCTGACCCCGATATGTTAAAGGCACTCAGTAAGTCAGCTTTTGTAAAGTCTATCACTCTATAAATGACTGTTATTTACTGGTTTAAACTTTAGAGGAGTTGCCACTCTCACTACTTCCATTTAAAAAATATCAGGCTATTGTCCAAAATTAAATGGCATCAGGAATAACTCTGATATTCAGTCATACAAACTGTACTTTTTCTTCTGAAATATAATCTCTAGCAGCCTGATAGTCTGCAGACAAATCCTGGAAAGAAATACCTATGTCTTCATATTCTGTGTGACCATGGCCTATGTGCCAGCCACTGAACAGACCAATTCTTCATACATTTCTTCCATCGAATATATGCATGAACAAGAAGTGCTACCACTTTTGATCAGTAACACATAGATTGGAATTACTGACATGGTCAGGAATAACAACTGTGCTTCACAAGACAATCTTAGGTAACTTCCAGCCTCCTCGGCATACAAAGGAGTGACATGAACCTTCAGAGGATGTGTGTGTGTGCCTCACACCAAGCCACAAAACAAAAGGAGCACTATGGGGATCCCCACTTTAAAGCTACCACTGTTTCTCTATTTATGGAAGTGTTTAATGACCACACAGTATTGCCATGACAAGTATTCTCCCATGACTACAACCTCACCTGGACTCCTCCTTAGCTGCGACTCCAGTCAGCCAGTGCCAGAACCCTGAGGAAACACACTCTACTTCTACTGCAAAATCCTAATTGAGGCCTATTCCCTTCTAGTAAAACAAGAACTCAAGCTAATAGCTAACACATTTCTGTAACCTCAGTCACTGGAAAAAAGGTGAAAGAGATTGTATAGATATCTGTCAGCAAACAAGCCTCGATGGAAGAAAAAAGGAAAATGCACTCATTTGCTTTATTCCACCTAACTCTGCACACAACATGTTATCAAGTGTAACAAACCTGTGGCCCTAAGCACTGTGTCAGAACACCTATGAACAAATTGTGACAAGCACGGTTAGATTAGACTAATTGGATTAGACTGATGTTACCCTCCTCTTGGAAGTTGGCTCTAGCCCTTCTCAAAAGATTTCTTGTTTCTAAGATGACCAATGCATTCGAAATACTCTGAGTAGATTTCAGCAGTCAAATAAGCCTTTCATAGCAGGAATCTAACAGGGTCCAGGCACCACAAACTAAACCAAAAAACTTTAGTAAGTTTTAAATGCTTTTAACCTAAAGCTTAAATTAATTTCCATTAGTCATTATGTCTTCATCTACTAATTTCTTTAGAAAAACACCCAAGCATGAGTTTCTGCTTTCTTAAGCATTGATAAGCTTAGGCACAGGCAAGGGCAGAGCAACATGTGAAATCAGTACAATTATTTGGTGGAGGAGAGTTATGACAATAGCCACAATCTCCTGATTTTCACCTTCCATTGGACTGACTGAATTCCACTGATCCAATTGGACAAGGCCAAATATTAAAGGTTTCTAAAAAGCACTTGAGTGATTAACATCATTGCAAGAGTGAACGTACTCCTAGTTATATCAGGCAAAGTCTAGATACACTTTCAGTAGGAAAGTCTTGCTTTTCAGAGATATTTACTTCACAGTGAAGCCACTCATCTCCCATAACACACCTGAAATCAGTACGAATGTATTAGTGTGCAAGACCATCCATGGCAAGAGGCCTCAAAGCACCCTTCTACATTAAGGAACTGAAGTACAGAGGTGCATAAGGACGAGAACCCATCCTAATTTCACTTTTGCCAGCCCTCAGGGAAAGGGAGGTTCAGCTTAGGAAGCCGTGACTCTGAACATCCAAAAAAAAATGCTGAACATGAAATTTCAGGCTGATGCCCACGTCCTCAAAGCAGCCTTCTTGATTTCGGTACTTTTGATCTAAAGGGAAGACTCTCAGACTTTTCTCCAAAACAATTTTTCCTCAATCATTACACTTGCTGGTCATCATCATATCAGGGAATCCAGGAGAAAATGCAGTTTGAGTAATGTTCAGAACAAGTAAAGGCCATTACAACATATCAGCATTTAATGTAGTAAGAAACTTAGTTTTTCTGTTGTTTTTTCTTTTTTTCATAAACCCAAATATTTTCAAACACATTCTAATTTATCCCAAATAAAACATGTTTAACCTACCAAATTAAATTACGCAAATAAAATTGCCAGAAGAATTGGACCCCTTTTTTGGCACTGTCATCCACTAAAAATCATCTAAACAAAAGAACATTGAAAATAAAATGAAAATAATAATTGTACAATTTAATTTCCAGTCTAATTATCAAAGAAAAATTTTAACACATAAAGTAGGTGGATTCAGTTAAGTTAAGGTGAGATTATACTATCATAACAAACTCTCCTGGTGACTCATGGGTGGGTTTTTTTCAGGTACTTTTCATAAATATTTACTTTATCAGGGAGTGAGCAGGTAGTGGAAGGAAAGTAAAGAAAGAAACAACACCTGAAAAAATCAACAACATTGTTTCCATTTACACTCAGCTGGTCATGCCACACACCAGATAAAGACATGGTGATTCAGTCTAGAAAAATCTGTGGCACAAGGACAGGTCAAACAGAATTAATGAAATTCTGTAGTTAAAATAATTAATGAAGCTTCAAGGATAAGTAGATAAATAAATTCAGCAGTTTTATCCTTGCTAGGCAGTAAGGGCTATGAAAAAACACATGAAAACCCCAGTGTGTGCAAAAAGCAAAACACTATTTTGTGACCAGGGTTAAAACAGCTCTTAGCCTTGGGAGATTGCAGCACAGTGCTACAAGAATTGAGTCTGGAAACAGAATGCCTTGAGCACAGCTTTGAAAGTGAGACAACAAACTTCTGCTGGAAAAACAACATGGTCTGATACAGTGAAAGCATCTCTCTGCCCTTTTGCCTGGCGCCTACTACTGTCATTAGTTTCATAAGCTGTTCTTCATGTCCAGTGCTCCAGCTGTGTGTTTGACATACTCAAGCAATCACAAGCTGATTTGCAGACTCAGGCTTCCAAGTGTGATGCATGACAGCAATGGCCAAATTGGCAATGGCTGCTGGGAGAAATGGGTTAAGCTGCTTTCCAGCTCCTCACTAACGACACCGCAGGGATCAGTCTGATACAGGTCAGTGTCTCGATGCCTGTTGTGAGAACCAGTCCAGTAATTCCATGTCCACATCTGACGATTTTGTGACATACAAAACAAGACTTTTCTGCCTACTCTGGAGTATGAGGACTAACACTTGGCATCCACAAATTGCTCTGATTAGAAGAACTATAAATCTTCTCTTGTAGTAATTTAGTACTTTCATTTACTAAATTTCACACCTTTTCAAATTGCAAAGTGGCTGTAAACAGATGAAACCCAGAGCTTTCTGCTCCCAGAACTGGCGGACTGACTCCTGCATCTCCTCTGCATTCATATAGTCCAAGCAAGACATCAGCTGGTAGGACCTTGCTAGGTTAAAAATGTTAGCAGCTACTGATAAAATAACAGGCTGAGCCCTTTGCCACGTAGGCACAAAGGGTCACTACAATTTTACTGGGCACCTCATCTCAGGGGCTGATTTCATTTTATTTTTCCATTTCAAAGTTACTGTGAAAAACACTACAGTTACCATGACAAGTCTCCTTTCATCTGCCTGCACATAATGAATTCAATCAATCTGTTGAAAAATCTTCCTTTGGTTACTTCCTTTCTTACTTTCTGAACCTGACTGACTTTAGTGACAGAAATACTGCTCCTGGATCCCACTAGTCATATAGAATCACTGAAACAACAAGCTAAAACACAGCTAAACCCTGATGACTAACACCTAATAGTTACCCATTAGAAGTTCACTGTATATTTGTCCACCCTTGTGTCTAAGCATGCAAAACACTATCTAGAGCAAAAGAGTGATTCATCAGGATTGCAGAAATTGATTTTCTTTATTCTGCCAGCATTAGCCTATTGCTACATAAAGAGACTAGCTGGTTTCCCTTTTTATCTGAAATGGGAATACAAGATATATGACAACATGCTGTGTTACTGCATGTTACCAGAGCCCTCATAGCATACTAACCAGGCCTACATTTAAACAAGGTTTTGTTAACGAGACACTAACGAGGAATAGTAGTTTAGTAAACTATCCTGCCTCAGCCAATTCTATACAGCATCTTTGGCACAGAAATGACATAGATTGGTGAGTGGGAGTTCACATTTCCATTAAAAGTTTAAAAGGGTTCACTAGTCCAAGCTGGTCTTTATTTGAACATATCTGAATTATAGAATAAATTCAGAAGAAAGATCAGTTATTAATAACAGTCTTGAAAAATTAAAACAAAACCATGAAATGATAACTGTTCCGCTAGCTCTAGAGAAGCCCCTCAGATACAGCTTGCCAGGTGATACAGTTAGGGCAATTTTCTTTTACATTTCTTGATAATTTATGTAAATTCTCCCATGTTCAAGAGAAAACAATATGATCCAGTCCCACCTCGACTAACAAGGATTCTTGGGGCGTGAGAGGGAGGGAGAGATACAGCATAAATGTTAAAGCTTGTCTGTTTTTCTAAGATGCCAGATCAAGCCTGAATGTCAGGTTTAAAGCAACAGGACTAAGGGCGTCCTGACCTCCCCTCTAACACTAGAAATTCCTTTCCCTTCCAACTCATCTCCAAGACCTATGAATTCCCTAAACATGGTGGTTACCAGAGCAGTTGCTTTCCTGACAGAAAGGCTGCTGGGAATCTGCAAACCTCCATCCTCACCTCCTCTCACCTTTTCCAAATCTCAGAACAGCAAGAATGGGCACCAAGAGGAAAACTCATTGCACTCTCCGACTGACACTGGGGGCAGCACGGGCTCCCTGAGGGGCTCTGAGGCCTGGAAATCTGTCTGGGACATCACCACTGTAAGTGGCTGCTACCACAGCTCCAAACATGCATAAAGGAAAATAACCAAAAGCTTCAACTAAGTTAACAAGATTTTAGAGGAGGTGCTTCAAAACCTTTTTCTTCTTTTAACAGGGCTACGTGGCAACCAAGGTGTTTTCCAAAAACACCTGCATCATTTCTAAAATGGACAGGAGTGTTTTGCTTCATCAGCCATTTCCTGCAGCACCTCAAGGACATCAGGTAGGAGGTGAAGGACAGCACTGAGACAGCTAATAATGTGCCTCGGAAAACTATTCCTTCCCTACCCACACAGAGGGGGGAAGGCTCCAGGAACTGCAGACAAGATTCTCAGCAGGGCTGAGATGCTCTGCAAGTTGTTTCAATCCAAAGTCACACTCAAATCACCCCTTCTCCATTAGCAGAGATGGGCAGACAGACTCTCTGCTCCAGCTGTGCTTTTGCTAAGAGCTGTTCTCTGGCTTTGTCTCTTTGGTGCTTAGGACCCTCCTCCTCACCCACTTCCCCCCAGAGGGAATCGCCTCATTATCTCAACCAACAGACTCCAAAGCCTGAGCCCATATGGAAAACGCATTCAAGCTCTGTGCAGAGGGATTCCCTCTTACTTTGCTTACCCAACTGCTGGTGAGTGTATTGCTGACAGTGCTCTGCACACCAGGTCAAGGTGAGCAAGACTGCAAACAAGGATGAAAAAGGCATTAAAATGAGCAAGTGATCTCTTGAAATCCTCGTGTTCTCCAAGACTTTCTATAAAGTACCAAATGTGCATGCAAGGAAAAGCAGCAGGTCTGCCACTCTCCTGCACACACCTTGGAGGCCAGGAAGCTTCTTCAGGAAGCGTTTGGGCTCCAGCTGCTGACACCAGTCTGAGCTCTTCAGGCAGTCTCTGGCACATACAAGACCAGGAAGCGTTAGGGCTCCAGCTGCTGATACCAGTCTGAGCTCTTCAGGCAGTCTCTGGCACATACAAGACCGAGCTGCCACGGGTCCTGCTGCAGCACAACGGTGAGATTCAAACCAACTGGCAGCTTAGACTGGTCTGAACAGCCACGTTCCATTCTCAAATGGCATTTCCTGGGACATTTCCAACATCGAGTTGGAAGACTTTCAGCTACATTGTTCTCTTAGTTTCTCTAATCCAAATCTAATCAGGTTTTCCTTTTCTTTCAGGATCAAACTTCTTAATGCGAGACGTCGCATGTTTGACAGTTGAGATTAATGAACTGCCCGTCTATTACTGTCATTAATTACTCCTGACGAAGAACGTTCGTAGGACAGTCTACCCAAAAAACAAGACTTTCTCCTTGACACTTCTCTCCTGATCACACTTCCAGTCACTTCTCTGTCTCTTCTGCTGCTCTGTGTGGAGGCTGTTGTGTCTCAGTAAAATTGATCCTCAACCTACACTGCTCTGCGATGTGTTTTTCCTCATCCCATAAAGAAGCCCAGGCAATTCCAAAGACAAGGTGCTAAGCCAGTGTTCTTGCAGAATCCCAGTTTTGGCATTCCAGCCCCAGCCTCTACAATTTCCCAGTAACATTTCACATGCTGCCTTCAGCAATTATTCAGCTTTCCTAAAACCAAGTGCTGCTACACCTGCAGCATAACCACAATGAAGATAATCAGGCCTGCAGTCCACATGCACAGAAAGAAGCCTGCCTGAGTTACTTTTAACTTCTTATTTACATACTAAGTAGTGCAACCTTTCATTTTTAGAATAAGCACTGCAAGGCAATGCGGCCCAGTACAAACAGACAGAGGCGCTATTGCTCTGTTCAGCCCCAGAAATCAAGCTGTCAATACCAGACTCAGACAGTATATAAAACGCAGTTTGGAGTTGAATACAGATGCTACCTCACAACATTTGAAAACATCATTTCCAGGAGGTAGAAAAGCATCCCCTGACCAAGGAACAGTGCAGAGAGAAAGCTGAAAGGGCAAATGATAGTTAGGTCAAAACTCAGGCAAAATGGCTGGGAGTAGTTTCTTCATCTGAAACAATCACTTCAGTAACTGACTTTGTCTAGAAAACGCTAGATCTTTACCTTCCGTCCTTCCTTACTGGAATTCAAGAGGAGACACTTCACCCATTCAGGAACTGTCATCAGTTATGTGACATAAATGACACAGCTGTCTGTTCTGTTCAGGAAAAGGTTTTAGGGGTCTTGAATACTTAACTGGCATCAAAAGAAAACACAACCCCACCCTGAAATATTGTAGCACCTCAAAGAAAAGCAGCCATATGGTTTGCAGTATTTAAGTTCCTCTCTGACCTGTCTGGGAGTTTCTGTAGAGAATCCCCCCTCCTTTCCCAGTGGAACACTGCACTTTTGCTGAGATGAAAGAGGCACAGTCCTCTTCACTTACACTGTCTTGTGTCCTTCTAGGGGCCTTTCAGACCTTGGAGACTGTAGGCCAGGCTCCACAAGGGGTGATGATTTAAAGTCCCCTCAAGGCAGCAGGGATCTGACCTGGGCAGGGTCTGTGCTGCAGCAGATCCCACAGCCGGGGAATACTAGGGCATGGATGCTTCTAGCAAGGATGACATCTGCTCCAATACAACCCCATTTTAGGCCAGAATTTCAAGTAGAGGACACAAAACATGGGCAGCAAGATGCAGATTCTTGATCACATAGATGACCCAGACTCCTGTTTTTACTACCATATCACACGTTGTGATGCTTACAACACGCCCAAGCTCATTTTTATTCCATGAAGAGCTACAGGCCAGGCTCTGTAACCACTGAAAGTATCTCCTGAGACTAGAATTTAACATTGCACTGGCAGTGCTGCTCAGAAGGTTATTTTATAAATTAAACCCACCCCACAAGCACAAAACCTTTGCAACAAAGGCCCCTTGTCTGCTAGAGGTCCATGCACATGGATTCCTGGCTTTACCACTATATTACACATTATGACGCTAACTACAACTCCAGGCTTTTCTCATTCAATGAAAACCTTAAATTAAGCATGTGTCCTACACTAACAATTAAAACTTGACAGAACCAATGAAACAAACTCTATCTAGACTAAAGGAGCCGTTTTTGAAAGTAATTTTGGAACCTTTGCCACTCAGCAGGGTGGTGCACAAAACAAAATTGGATGAATTCACAGAAAAAACAAGTATTGAAAAAACATCTCTAACTGCAAAGATTTCAATAAGCATTTACATCCCCACAGAAAGAAGCTGAGACAAGGGGGAAAAATTATCGTTGCCACCTAAAGTAAGAAGGAGACACTCACAGACTTGCACATGTATGAAATATTTTACCTTGAACTGCCTATTTACTGTAAAGCAAGACTCACTGGAACTGTTGTGTTTGGGGCCATATTTTGGTGGACCCTCTGGTCACGTGGAAGGTTCAGCAAACTTTGCAAAGTACAAAGGCTCTTATTTAGGCTTTGTTTTATTTTTTAAAGACTGGGCCAAGTTTGATGTGCAATTTCAACAGTAATTAGTAAATGTTGGAGAGGTTCTATGAAATATATTTAATTTTCCCCCTGCAAATGGGTTCTTATCTGATAATTATCAAACTCTGGCAGGTCAAAATTTGCAGAAGTACAATTCCTGTATTTATGAAATGGCAGTTACAGCAGGAAATAAGTTTCAGTGACATGCAGGCAGGGATACAAATTACCAAATAATTCTAATTCAACACTTAACCATTCCACACCTTATTCCAAAATCCTATATAAGCTGTACGGGTCACACCGTTCGCTCTACCTGCACCAGCATCAGCTCTGCAGTCAAGATGAAATTCACTGTGAGTATGCATGCTTTTTTCTCCTTACACACTGAAACTTTGATTGAAATCCACTGTCTTTCTCTCCCAGAAGCGCCCATGTCTGTCTCTAGCAAAAAACTACACTTTTCTTTCCCATTTCCATTTCAGATTGTGGCGACCGTCCTTCTTGGCCTCTGGCTGGCTCCAGCCCTTGCTACAATACTCGTGAGTATGGTGACCAACTGACACATTCACTGCTGCTCTTCCTAGCTTCCCTGCTGCTTGTGCCTTTATTCCTTCTTTCCCCATCCCTTTGGAGGAAAGGGTTCTACAATGTCCTTCCCACATACAACTCTCCAACCCCCAAAATACAGCTGCAAGATCACACAATCACAGAACCACCAAGGCTGGAAAAGACCTTTATGATCAGCAAGTCCAGCCTACGACCTGACACCACCACATCAGCCAGACCACGGCACTAAGTGCCACATGCAGCCTTTCCTTAAACGTATCCAGGGATGGTGCCTCCACCACTTCCCTGGGAAGTCCTTTCCAATGTCTGATCACCCTCTCCATCAGGAAGTGTTTCCTGATATCCAACCTAAATCTCCCCTGCAGCAGCTGGAGGCCAGGACCTGTTGGCTTCTTGCTGGTTGCTAGGACAAAGAGCCCAAACCCCAATCTCCCTTCAGGTAGTTGAACAGAGTGAGAAGGTCCCCTCTGAGTCACCTTCCTTGGATCCATGAAAAGAATCCCCAGGGCTCCCCCAGAGTGCCACAGCCTTAACTCTGTGTCCTAGGAATCTCCGGGGCTCACCAAAGGTTCTCCCTCTGGGCCCGCGTTTCTTCTCTTCCTGCAGACACTTTCTAAAGCTTTGAGGAGGCTGACGAACCTGAAAATCTAAAACTGTTCCACAATTTTTTGTTCCAGTTACCAAATCAAAATGGACTCCAGCAAGTCGTAGACCAGCAGCCATCAACATCCATCACCAGGCAAATCACCATCAATGGACAGTTACAACTTGTGTTCATCAACAGGCAATGGCGCGTGGCAACTATCGAGCAACAGGGCGGCTTCAGGTCATGGAAAACCATCTGGGACTACAACACCGTGAGTGGCAAGGAGCAGGCTTTTTCAGAACATGTACAGGCAGACTAGCTCCTGTGCAGCTGACCAAGACACAGCCCTTGCTCTTTACTCCTGACCTTTTGGGTGCCAGCTGTGGGGTAAAAGCCAGCTGCATGCATTCCTG